GCAGTCTAATTAGTCATGTCTTCTTCTGCAAGTACAGGAGTCAGTTGGAATGTGGGTAACAATTGCGAAACTACCTTTTAGAGAGCTCCTTTGCATATTATTTTGGAAGAAAACCATAAAGTCCTATAAATGATAGACCCCATAAATGTCAGTCCAGATAATTCAGCTGATGTCAACAAGTAGAGGTTGGATGGGCTGTCATAGATATTGGGGTTGAATATAGCATATGGCATCAAATCATGACTTTGTAAACATTTCCTCCTTTGCATACAGATTTAATTATCTTGCACCCCAGAGAAGAGCAAAACTGAGGCCAACATTATTTCAAAGGAAAGAAAAATGTGTTCCTATTTTTATAGCCTTGTAAAAGCAAGGAAATGTCTGAATAGGAAAAAAAAAAAAGTCTTGAAGAAGAATGCAGTATGCCCCAAACCAAACTTATTCAAGATGTCATTCCTGGATAGAATTCTCTGCTCTCAGCATTAGACAGGCTGGTTAAGCAAAGGCAGGTTCTACATAGACTGTCATCTGAACATGATATTGATGGATTGTTTTTACAAACAGGCTGGACTGCAATGAAAAGCCTTGTGAATGTGCTAAGACCATTTTAACAGGTCACTGGAGACCAAAGTGCCTGAAGGAGAGGATCTAAGCCAAGCCCTATGAACAGTTCATAATATATGAATAATGAAGCACTTCAGAAAAATGTATGTATATAAAATCATGATATTCCCAAAGAAAATTCTTGTGTCACTAATATTTTTGAGAATCCTTCTAACTGCAACCTGATTAAGTGATTCAAGATCTGCAATAGGTTTTCTTCATGACATGCTGATGCACAGTTTTGTTTTCAAATCACATGGAACATGCTTCCATTGTACTAAAGCAGGAAGAAATTTTTATTCTGAAATAAGCATGAGACACTGTCATGAGTCAGCTCAAGATAGAAGTAATCCATATACACATGTAACTAGAACTGTAGGCAGGAGTGAAAGTAAGAAAGAACATTAGTTGGGAACAAATAAATTTCCTTCCAAATGTGCACCATGTAACTGTGGACAGTCAATTCCAAACAGGACCTGATTTCATCACTAAATATGTGCATCAGACTAAAAGACATTGAGCCATGCGTCCTCATACACCTGCGCAACTCTAATTTTTTCTTTAAGATTTAATCTTCAATTGTAGAATACTAGATTTTAAGTTTGAGGCTCTCAGTATAGTATCATGAATTTTAACCAGTTTACTAAGGAATCATCATTTAAATCAAGTTTTAGAAAGAAGAATCTCTCACTGTGTATGCCCAGCTCATGACTTGAAAGTTCCAGAGAAGTCAACTAAAGTTAATTTACTTAAGTTGCAGATGAACACTTAGGATGATTTCATTTAGAGCAGGTCAATAAAATAAAGAAGAAGGCAGCAGTATTATTCAAATTACTCTCCAGCTATTGTTACTAGCATTTGCTTTTCATAGCATCATAAAAAGGAGAAAAGAAGAAAAAGTTTGAGTATTTATCCTGCTTTTTTCCTTGCATTTTGCCTTTTGTTTACTTAAAAAAAAAAAAGAACAAAAAACTCCATAGGCCTTCTAAATAAACCCTATCATAATATTTGGAAATGTAAGTCTGTGGTCATATATGATCAAAATCACTGTTTACCATTCTTACAAGTAGCTCTCTGCATGATGAAGATTTACTTTTATCGATTTATAGACAAATTTACAGTTGCCAAGCCATGCTCTTAACCATTTAATTTGATCCTCACAACATTCTTATGAGGTAGACCAGGATGGGCAAACTCTCATGGACAAGGGCAACATTTAATTTATATTTGCATCTTTGATGCTAAACGCATTGAATATGCATAATGGTATTTCTTGAATAAATTTTTGAATTATCTCCTTTTAAACAATAAGAAAAACATGAAATTCCATGACATTCCCCAGGTCTATTTGTTGAAAAACTATCATTAAATCATCTGCTATTCCTGATTTCTATGTCTCCCTATATACTACATTGTTATCCACAATATTAATTTCCACATATAAGAAAAGCCAAAAAGAAAGGATAAAAATGAATAAAAGATTGCTGCCTTCTCATGAAATTTCAATACTCAATTATGCTTTAAGGATCAAAAAATTATTAAAATGATGGATTATTATTTTTCTTTCACATTCTTCAAAGGAGCAAATGCTGGCTGAAGAATAATGACAATACTGTAAATTTTCTACTCTATCTCTGTTGGAAGATAACAGCTTTCCATTTATAAGATGCTTACTTTACTCAACATTTTTACATATGCTACTTCTTCGATGCTCTCAGAAACAGCATTTTCCCCATTTTACAGATGGAAAAAGAGGGTAAAAATTAAATGAGCTCAATGTCACCTATGTTGGCTTCAGCCATCTTCCTCCATGAAGCATTTTCTTCAGCACTCACACTCTTCCAGTATGATTTTTATTTTGAAAGGATGGCTGTTTAATTCTTGTTGCATTTATCTGGTTATAATTCTCCTTTCACCAAGAAGTTGGGAGTAAAAACACATTTGCCAAAGGACATAGCAAAAGGCAGAATATGTCAATATGAAATTAAGTAGTGTTGTTTTTCATATTGTATTGCTTGATGGAATTTCTGAGTAATTATGGGAACGGGTGCATAGCTACCAAATGACCAACTAATTAAAATATCTCCATCTCTTCTTATAAAAATATTTGAACAATTAGAAATTTATTTGGATTAATAAACTCTATTTAAAAGCAAATATCTTAAGAGATTGAATTTGCAAGTCATAGTCACTGATTAATAAGCACATGAATATCAAGTTTAAAATTAGTAATTTAGGAAATGAATGGTTTTCTGGGTAGAGAAGAAAAGATAATGTGAGAGCCTGGTGGGAAAGGAAGAACTTTACACAGCTAGGAAATGTTAGGAGGTGCTGAATATTTAGGAGGTGAAAAGGTAGTTGTGCACAAGAGAGAAGTTATGCCCCAAGCCTTGATAGCTGTGAAAGTACATATGGTTGTGGATTCAATAAATGAATCCCAGTAAGTTTTAAAGGCACAGATATAAGTCTTCTTGGGCCTCCCCAGTGGCGCAGCGGTTGAGCGCTCGGTTGCAAAGCTGCCCGCAGCCTCTGTAGCGCAGGTTCAATCCCCGCCGACAGGTGAGGGTCCCACATGGCGCGACAGATCTCTCCTGCTGCCTGCTGCTCCCCTCAGCAGTGTATTTCATCAGTCTGCCTGTTCTGTCCCCTGCTCTGGCTCTGGTGAATTCTCTCACCCTCCCATGCTTCTGACTGTACCCAGTGCTTGTATAAATAAATAAATAAATCTTAAAAAAGAAAATAAGAAAGCAAACATCATAAATATATATATATATATATATATATGTGTCTTCTTAAGTGAAGTCAGTATCTTTAGTGCGTCCAAGGTTAACCTATAAATCACTGCCTCATGAAAGTGAGTGTTATCCTAGTCAGTCACTACTGTGCACAAAAATGCACACACAGCAGAAAGATGAGGAGAAAGAGCTGATTTCTTGACACCTGGCTATTCTAGTGAATATTTTCAAATATCTACCACTCTCTCTCTTAGATTCTTTTCTATCTTTCTCAATTTTGCTATTCATTTATTCATTCAATTAATATCTTTATGCTCATATTATCTGCAAAGCATTCCCTTTAATTTTAGAGATTTTGAAACAAATCAACAGATCCTTGCAAATTCCTATGTGGCACTCTAAATAGGATAAAAGACAGGGAGTTGTAGGAGAAAGAAAATAGTATTTAATTTAGCCTGAAATGCTAGGAAGCTTTTAGCAGCACTCATTAGTTGAGTCTTCTTTTTAGGTATAATTTAAATTTCTGCAAGTTATTAAACTCAGTTGTTTCTGAGGATTTGTTAAAGTTCTTCCTAAATTGAAATTTACCCTACAGGAAAAATACCCCAGAGGCTGATATATACACCTATCAGTTAGCCATTGGATTTTAGCCATCAAGTCATTATAACATTTTAGGGAAATTTTTCTCAAATTATAGCCATTTTTCTCAAAGGTTATATGCTTAGGATGAAGGCATATATATATATATATATATATATATATATATATATATATACGCACACACACACTGCATATACACTATATACTACATATATACATATACTATATACTACACATCTATACATATACTGTATACTACATATATATGTAGTTAATACAAGTGAAAACACTTTTTAAACAAAATTTTCCAGTTTTTAAAGTTATACTACCCAAACTTCTAGATATTGTTATCTCTCAACTTTCAAATATATTACATACACTTTATTGTTCTATTTGACTTTGGATTAATATGGCAATTCTTGATAGACAAATAACAGAGAATCTGTTTTGCTCTTAGCAAGCTCAGTTTTGGGCCAGTTAACATTTAAATGATTTTCCACTATGCTCAAAAATATGTTACATCATAACTGCATTATAATGTGGCCACCTGTTAGATTCAGAAAGTATCAATCAATCTATGTTTGGCTAAGCATTGCAAGACATAACCTTCAAAGTTATCTATCATTATGCAGGAAAAATTGGGGGAAAGATAGAATTGTTTTGTCACTACTATGACAGTAAAATGGAGAAGAAAATAATGGTGATAATCTCTTGGGTTTTTGGCATCAATGGATATAGTACAATGATGCAATGAGGAAGACCAGGAGGGTGTGAATGATTGCTAGTTCAACTATTTTGTGTTACAAGCCCTAAATTTAAGAGGAAAATAAAAACTTCCTGGGTGATTAATGTGGTCATAATGAACAATTAGATGAGGGTAACAAGATGAACAGTACATTCCTAATCAACTAGCTGACATCAGTCATCAGGGCTTTTGGGAGATAAGAGAAACTATTGACAGGCTTGAGAAGAGCAGCTGAAATTATACAGTCACTCCACACTCTTTATGCATTTGTCACTAGTGGATGTAAATATTTGTGGCTCAGATAACAAATGACTTACCTTATTTGGTGATTTGAAGTACTGGTGCAATTTCAAGGTCACGGGAATGGTGTTAGGTTTCTGCTGAGATCTGGGTTGGATTAAGGCAAGGGAGTTGTAGCAGCTGCAAATGAAAATATGCCATAACCCATTCCACACCCCAAATCCTCCTGTTCTCACACATGCCCCCAAATCAAACCCCCTCACCACCACCAGAAAAAAAATAGGAAATTCTGTGCCTTGGATTGTAACAAAAAATTTCTTCTCAGTAAGTGGAATTTAGGAAGATGTGGAGTGCAGAAAGGGAGCTAAACTAAGCACATTCAGAGTGTATAAAATTAAAACACACCAGCTTCATCTGTTGAACAGCATGGTGCTCTGGCAGTTCATAAGCAAATGTTTAATAATATTTATAGTTTAGCTAAATAAGGAATTAATAAAGAGGAAAATGGGTTATTCTGAATAAGATCAGTTTGGTCTCTTTCCCCAGATGTTGACCTTAGGATCAGTCAGTTTAGACTCACCCATAGTCCCCAAGAGTGTAGGAAACTCAGTAAAGGAGATCAGTGGAGGTGAGGCAGGTAAAGACATATTCATTACTACTTTTCTATACTAAGCCAAACATTCCATGCCAATGGTCAGGGTGATGGTGTTTTTTTCTTCTAAGTGTTTCCGCATAGCTGTCATCCAACAGGTATCCTCTACTGCTTACACAAGAGCCCGAGAATGCTCAAAAAACTCCATTTAAAAATGAATGGTCCATGCACCACTATGTTTATAGCAGCACTGTTTACAATAGCTAAGCTTTGGAAACAACCCAAATGCCCAAAAATAGATGACTGGATCAAGAAGATGTGGTACATATACACCATGGAATATTACTCAGCAATCAAAAAAGATAAACACATGCAATTTGCAGCAACATGGATGGCACTGGAAGGGATAATGCTCAGCGAAATAAGCCAGAAAGAAAAAGAAAAATATCGGATGGTCTCACTCATAGCAGGAATCTAGAAAACTTAAATAAGGGACCAGGAAAATGAATAACTATAAGAAAGTGAAAATCAAAATCAACAAACAACTCTATGGGGGGTGGGAGGGCTGGAAGGAGAGGGATTGGGGTCAAAATAAGGGGGTTGCAATTGTATGGGGAATATAAAAAATTATTTAAAAAATAAAAATGAATGGCCCAATTATATATACACACATATATATGTTTACCTATATACGTATATAGTATATATTTATGCAATGGTCTGGTAACATGACATAGATACTAAGAAAACTCACAGAGACCCTTTGTAGTATTTTGTACTTAATGGTGTTTTTTTACTTGGGTAATACTATTAAGTTAGCTCTGATGTAAATTTTTAAGGTTAGAGCTGCATTAAAATTAATGGAAACATCCTAACTCATTTAAAATTTAAAATATTTTCCAATGAAATGAATGATCTTCATTTATGCCCAACAGGTTATAAATACAGAGTATTAGAGATCCTTTTATCTTAGAGTCTGTGTCTTGAAATTACTTTTCTAAAAACCATTGAAATTCTAAGTATATTTTGAAACCTGAAGTTTACTGCTCTGCATCCATACTTAAAGCTACCACTGAGGCTCTCTGGATTAGAAATTTACTTAACTGACAGTTCCCAGATTTGAAAACAACAAGTCTATAACCATGAACTAATACATTCTATAATTAAAGTACTTTGCTACTATTAGTAGGAGGAATGTGCCTGGAAAATATTCCATTATGAAGAAGAAAATTTATGAGGAATTAGCAATAGATCTGTGGTTTTCATGGAAATTATGATAAATTTTACTTAATGAATTTTGTATGTATGTACGTATATATGCATGTATTTTTCAATAAACTCAAGCCCATGGCTCTTCAGTTGTGACTAATCAGAGCAACACAGACAACGAATGTGCAGAGGCAATTCCCTGAATTCTTATGTGTAATCACATAACAACCCTTATACACACCTTATTCCCTTTCCAATACAGCAATAATACAAAACAAAGGAAGTTGTTGATGGCCTTCCTGATGTCCTATCCAGATCATTCTTCAAGGCAGTTCCTTCAAGCAGTAAATCCATTTCCTTCAAAAAAATTTTACTGTCCTGATGCTTCAAGAAATTCACTGTCCTGATGCTTGGGGTTCCACTGGCTTCTTTGATGGGGATAATTTCAGCTATAGAGAAATTCCTTGTCCAAGGTCATGCCCATCAAATGGCTGATGAAAGGTTTATATAAATGCCTGGTCAATTCAGGCCACCCAGTCCAGAACAACACTGACAGGTTGTTTTAGCTCCAGAGATTCTCCATGGCTTAGTTATTTGTAAAGGTAGTCATGGGGGCAAGATCACAACTCAACAACTAATTTTTCTGCCAAATCCTACTGCCTTTCTCTCTCTTCAGTAGGTGCCTGTTCATCTCAGAAGACACCTCATTCTCCTCAAAGTATCTAAGCTATGACCTCTGCCCATGACTGCAGGAGCACACCCGTTGGCTGTGAGGGTCTGACACCCACTATTGGAGCACATCTCACTCTGTCTCTTCTCTACATACATAAGTATTACCGTTGTGTCTGGTGCTTGACTACCTTGTGTTTTCCTTGGCAACTGTGCTACAAAATGAAGTGGGTGGAGCATTTAGTGATCTTCCCTGGGATGGATAATGTGTGGTACTCTGCTTGACAGTGCCCCTTTAGATCCTTGATATTGAGTCATTTTTATAATTATAAGAGGAAATTCTTTCATTGTTGTAGATTAAATATAAATGCATAGCACTCTGGAATACTCACCTGTGAAACAACAGAAAAAAAGTAGATTTTCACATCTATCATACAGAATTTCTTTGTAAAAACTTTTAAAAGTGGTACTTAATTTATCAAGTAGACTGATTTAAATGTATACTATTATATATACTATTATATGTTCTTTGTTTTAATATATATTATGTTTTATGTTTATATGTTTGTTTCTATGCATGTGTTATTATATTGCATATATTATTATGCATTATATATATATCACTGAAGTATACCTAGAGTCCTGTTTATGATTAATTTTTAAAAAATTTATTTATTTATACATACAAGAGCTGAGACATAGGCCAGAGATGGGGGGAGGTGAACGGATTCACTAGAGACAGAGTGGGGAACAGAACAGGCAGATGGACTGAAACACACTGCTAGGGGAGCAGCGGGCGAGACAGGAGAGGTCTGCTTGGCCAGGGATCAAACTTGTGATGCAGAGGCTGCGGACAGCTTCATAGTGTGGTGCTTAAACCCTTGTGCCACCAGGGAGGCCCCTATTTAATATTTAAGAAATTTTATGACAAAACTAAAATACATCAGCTATCAACTTTTCCAATAGAAATAATTAGTGATAAGTTTTAGAACTTTTGCCATATTTCTCTTCACAAGAAAAATTAAGTAAACAGATTTTAGATTTCTGTATTTACTTCCAAAGGACAGATCAGGCGATAATATCAGTCAAAGAAGATCATTACCCAAAGGCCAGGAACTTTGCATTCTTGTCCCTAAATAGCCTGATTATATTAGCTGGATAAAATCTCCATTTCCATCCATAAATTATTCTTAAAGAAAGGTAAAAAGGAATAATAGCTTGATAACTGTAGAAGGGTTATGGGAGATGCCACCTTTAAACTCATCTCCCATTTTTCACAGCAGAGGCCTCTGTCCTCCCCTCCTGCACACCCAACCCCTGCCCCCATTACAGATTTGATCCAGCACAAAGGAGAATAGATTCAAGTTCAATTGGTCTACTCTGGTTGAAAATAATCTGAGGGTGGGGAAAGAAGGTCAAGTCTATAGCAAAGTTCTCTTCATTAAGAAGATGTAGAAAGCAGAACATAAACACTGCATGATTGTTAAAAGCATGAAATACTATTCACATTGATAGGACCTTAGCATAAAAAAGAATTTCATTAAATAGAAATGAAAAAGTTCAATGACCCTTACCACATCTGAGGATATTCCCAGAATTTAGCAAAAGGCAATATATATGCAATAAGAATTTTTTGCAAAATTCCTTCTAAACTAACTACAGTCTGGCAGAAAGGACCATATAGATCTTGCCATCAAGTCAAGACTCATCCCATTGGTCATTTCTTTGCTCCATCTCTGGAAGCTCTTCTTTCTTTTCTCAAAAATGATGGTATGTTTCTCTCTTGCTTACATCAATCAAACGTAATTTTCGGAACTTTGATATCCTGTAGCTGTGCTTGAATAAATGGAGTCTTAACCCCTTTTATCTTTTTGGAATTATATCATCTGGCCAGACAATCTTCTTTCTGCCTGGAGTCTTAGTGGCTGGCTCATTTCCTATATTTTTTTCATTAACCTTTTAATATCATCAATATTGGCAGAAGAATGTGCTTATAACAGAACAGCTACAGTTACAAATCTAAAATATATTTATTTTCTTTCAGGTTCAAACCTCACAATTCTGGGAAAGAACACAAGCAATCAGGAGCCTTGAGCCAAATGGCTTGAGCTGAAAGTCAAATATGCTGTTTTCCTTCACACAGAAATAATGAACCAAAAAGATGGGGAACAAGGGATGTGGGTTCACCCTAAGACACACTCCCAGTAGGAAAACATATTTTTTGATCCATAAAATATCCTTTGATATTTAATTCTTGTTGTCAAATAAATCGCTGACAATATAAAGATGACACATTCATTTTGAGAATTAGTATCTAAACTACGTTTCAGTCCCTAAATCTTAATACAGTGGTCAATACAGGTGATAATATCAGTCAAAAATCATTAAAATGATCTACTAAAATATCCAGTACTATAGGTGTAAGTTTGGTAATGTTTAAAAGAATAGCCTCAGTTCCTGTTTCATTCTTTATTTGGAATTCTTGCAGCTCTGTCACTGAATATCTTGAATTTGTTTTGCATGTCATCAACTGCATGAGATGAAGTTTTTTTTATCCTTTATTAACTATACAATCAAAGTCTCAGGCCCTGCATGATTCCCTAAAATTTGTGGCTTTCAGATCAGCAGTGCCCCAGCTCAAGAAGGAAATTGCTTTCAGGCAGTATTATTCAAAGAGTCTTGTTTCCATTTCATCTTTTATTTAACGCTG